CTTAGGTCGAAGTTAATATATTAGATATAGTAGTCGTAGAAGTCCTCTCTTAAAAGGATATTAAGAGAGAGTTATACTCGATAGCCTTCTTCTCGAAGAAGATATCGCCTATCGAGTATAACTACGAAATCTATAATAAAGAGCTACTAGTAATTATTAAGATATTCGAGGAATAGAGGCTCGAGCTCGTAGGGACTAATCTATCCCGGCTAGTAAGAGTCCTATTTAATTATCGGTCTCTAGAGTACTTTATAATAATAAAGTAATTAAATCGTCGTTAGATAAGGTAGAGCGAGTTTCTTTCCGAATTCTACTTTACTATCGAATATCGACCTAATATTTAAGGAACTAAGCCTAATAGCCTAATACGTCGGCCGGATTATAAACCTTAGAATAAGTAGAATAATCGCCTAAAGTACTAACTCTAGACGGTACTTAAACCTTATAATTTAGGATCCGGGATTAGACACCTAGAACCTATACGACTAGTAGCTACTACTTAGCTCGCCGAATTAGCAACCCTAATAGATATACTAAACCAGACCGATAAACCTACACTTCCTAAACTAGTATAGTAACTCTACTAAGAAGGAAATAATACTACTCTAGTAGTAGTAATAAAAACACTATAAGACCCTTCGATTAAACTCCCTTAGAAGATTAAAATAGACCTAACTACTCGCTATATTTCCTTAGTAGACTACGCTTTAAAAGATAACCAAGTCTAGTATAGAAACCGACTCTAGGTACCTAAATATAAAGCTAAGGATATAAGATTATAATTAATTCAAGCCTATTATAACATTCTAGGCTCGGGATACCTAGGAAAGTCTAAAACGTACATACTACTATCTCGGAACTACTTCTAGTCTAGGATAATAGAAGATAGTTACCGTTTTGTCCGTAACTACTATATCTACTAACTATCGAAAGCGTCTAGATAAAAGTACTCCGGTACCCTATTATAACTTCCTATACTAATCCGATTATAGACAGAGGTCGTAGTCGATTTCGTAGTCGACTTACTACTAAGTAAAAGTACTATAGATTACGTTACCTATTCTAATATTATAGTTATAACTAATAGACTTAGTAAATAGAGATACTATATACCCTGCCGTAAGATGGACGCTACTATAGTTACTCGACTATTCCTACGATATATTTTCTCTCGACACGGTCTTCCTAACGCTATAACCTTAGATAGGGGGCCTCAGTTTATATTAGTATTCTAGAGCTATTTATACGAGAGGCTAAAAATACGGAAATAACTATCTAGTGCTTTTTACCCCGAGACGGATAGATAGTCTAAGAACTCTAACTAGATTATAGAATAGTATTTACATTACTACTACAACTATATATAGAATAACTAGGTCGAATAGCTTTCGATAGCTAAATTCGCCGTAAATACACATATCTCGTTAACTATATAGTCGTTACCTTTCTTCGCTAATTACGGTTTCTATCCTCGATTAGATATTAAACTCGTCTATAACAAGTAGATTATATCTTACGCCGTACTGGATACCAAACGAGCAGATAAGTTTATAGAATAGATAAAACGAATATATAAAATACTTAGGAACGAAATAACCTATATATAGGCTAAATACGAGAAATTTACGAACGTATCTCGATATATAGCGCCTACCTACAAAGTGGATAATATAATATAGCTAAATATACGGAATCTAAAAACGAATCGACTATCTAAAAAGTTGGACGTAAAGAACTTAGGGCCGTTCAAAATCTCCTAAGTTATAAATCTAAGAGCGTATCGACTCGACTTACCTAAAAGTATAAGAATTTATAACGTATTCTATACCTTACTACTATAGAAGGCTATAAATAACTCTCTACTAGGATAGATAGCTCTATCACCACCTCCCGTCGTCGTAGAAAGAGATAATAAAGCTAATAAGGAATAGGAAGTTAAGGATATCCTCGACTTAAGGTTATTCGGAAAGAAACGACGACTATAGTACCTAGTTAAGTAGAAAGGGTACCTAGAACGGTACTACGACTAGAAAGAGGTCCTACTAGGCTATAATAAACTCGTATAGCACTTCTATAGTCGTTATCTAAAGAAACCCGGACCCCCAGATAGATACGACTTCTCGTTAGACAAATTGTTACTAGAATATATATCGACGCAGAGAAGATCCCGACGAAGATAACTAACTTATCCTATATTACGAGTATAACGCCCTAGATATCTCGATATCGGCCTTCCTAGTAGGTCTACTAATAGAGTCGTTATAAGGATATTACTCTACACCCTATAGTTAATAGCTACTATCCTGATATCTAGGTAACGTTAAAAGGCTAGGATACGAGCGACTATTAACGTCGAATCGTCTCTATTAAATCGATATATTAACTGAATAAGATATAAACTTAGAGGGCTAAGTAGATAGGTTTAAGAGAAGGTAATATTACGGATTAATATACCGAATCGCCATTACGTGCCGCTATACATCACGTGATACCCAGTAATACGTAACTAATACGTAATCACAACGAAGGCTTGGCAGACCTCGGTTGCTAACTACTTACTCGTGCAACCGAGCGCAACTCTCTTCATAGTCCTTCGTCTTAGAATTCATATCATAAACAGCACATACGTTTGCAACAAGTCTCTCGTAGCAGTGCTCCGTAATAACTGGCGGAGCGAAGGATAGAGGCTTAATTACTACCACTCGAATAAGTTATATTCCTACTACTACCGTATAGGCGTTTATTAGCCGTTAATATAGTTATTAAATTCGTTATTAACGATATCCGGTTATTGCTAAGTTTCGCAGAGAAATAAGTCGAATAGTAACTAGAAAATAGGAGAAGCCGATTATACTATATTTAGGCGGTAGTCTCTCTCCTAAATATTCCGATTCGTATCTATTATACGCCTAACGTAATGCGCGGCATTATCTGTCTATCTCTTCTTAAAATAGGCTCTCCTAAGACACGGGTTAAGTAACGCTCCGGCGGCGTAGATTTTATAATTTTCATCCGTTAACGCGTTATACTCCGTTAGCTTTTAGCCTTTTACTACGCGTTTTGGTATACGATTAATAGGGGGTTAACCTAAGTTGTTAGGAGTATAGTAGACTGTAGAGCGACGAGAGGTGCGTCTACGGCGTCGACCTATTTCCTATTATTACGCCTCCTATCGTTACTATTATTGCGCCTCCTATTATTCCCGAAGTACTCGTTGCCGTCGCTTAATATTTATAAGGAGATAGTTAAGCGATATAATCGCCTCCTAAATAGCGCCGTATATACCACTTTTACTATTACCCTCTAGGCGAAGCGTAATATAATTAAATAGTTCTAAGACCTCTACGATCTCGGTAAGCTACGCCTAATCTTCGTTTATAAGTTTATTATCGTTAAGAGGGCCGTTATAATATAATAAGTAGGAATCTATAGATTCTCGAAGGCGAAGGCTACGTCGAATAGAGCGATAAGTTAAGTTCTAACGTATCGAGTTATCTAGGATTACAGTTAAGTCGGTAGTAAAATCGAGAGTCTCGCCTAGTAGTTAACGTTAGTAAATATAGGTTTTTTAGGCCGATAATTTATTATTTCTTATTAATTATATACTAAAAAGTTACGTATAGATAAGGTAATATACTCTAATTAGTTAATAGGATAAGTTATCCTCGGACCCCACTAAATTCCTAGCTCCTAATTAGCTAAAAAGTAACGTTAACTACTCGGAAAACTTACCGTATACCTCTATACGCCTAATATACCCCTCGATTTTAGCTTTAAATTCCTAGCGTCTCTAAGGTAACCGACGGATATAAACGATAATATTATAGAACTTTCCTATAGGCCCTCTCGAACGCTATTTAGCCTATTCCTAGGCGAGAAGTTGTTCGTCTCGCAGTATAGCCTATTCTATAACGGCGACGTCGTCTATAAATACGTTATAATCGTCCTCGAGCAAGAATGCTTTTACGGCGAGATTCATAATATATCTTAGGCACCGGGAGCGCCTAGTATACGTATTAATACTCTTCTTAGGGCGAAACCTTCTTATAAGTGCCTAAATTGCGCTATCGACGTTACTCGTATTGTCGCCGACGAAAATATCGAGTTTATAATCGACGCCGAGCTCCTCTATTATATCTCCTATAATCCGACCGATATTCTCCCCATTATAAACCCCCTCTATCTCTTTTAACGCGACTAGGGCTTACTTTAGATAAAGAGACGGCGTAAGATAGTAGATATAGAGTCCTAGGATTACGGCGTAGTTAGGCGACGTCTATATATTAAAGCTAAAGTAAATTCTCGATAGGGAGTCCGATAGATAGTCTTTAAGTTACTTACGCGCGGCTAGATATTTAGTCCTAATCTACTCGATAACCGAATTATATAACTAAACGAGATATCTTTCGACCGAGGGTTATAGATATATTAATATATTCCTAAATTTAGCGTAACTAATAGCAGAAAAGAGAACTTATCGTTATACTATCTATTAAACTAATAACTTCCTAAATACCTTAATATCGACGGTAATATAGAGCGATTAAAAAGTCTCTCGTCGACGAAATATCTCTTCTTCTCCTCTACGCGTCTTCTCCTCGATAGTCTTCTCGCTCGAATCTCTCTTTACTATAATATAATATCGATTCTTAAGATAACGAGAGATATTCTACGTTAATTACTATCGACTTATTATAATTATAGTATTATAGTAATTATAGAGCTAATAGAGGTGCGCGAAAGGGCTACTTAGATCCTAGTACTCGTCTCCGTATTCCTAGATCTTCGATATAGGCGTAAGTCGACGAATATTCGGTATACGGCCGACTCGAACCTATCTCTTTCCTTCTATACGCCTTATTTTACTCCTACTAGACGGTATAGTTAGCGTTAACGAAGAGCGTAGTTACGAGGATAAGGATACCGATTAGGACGACGACGTAGGATAAGGTATCGGCGTAGCACTACTAGATAAGAAGAATAGGGTTAGAGTACTTATTCTCGACGTTAGTGAGGTCTTTTCTAGTAATTTATACTATAAAAACTCACTACTCTACCTAAAGTATAAGGTAACTATATCCTAGACCCTATTATTTTATACTAAGCTACTAACGGAAATTAAAAGAGCCGCTTAGAGTCGACTCCCTAAGAATTTTGGGAGTCGACTCTTAGTACGACTCCCGGAGACGACTCTGCCAAGACCAGGAGTCGTCTCCTGACAACGCTGTCTCCCATTGCAACCATCCATCAGCCTTGTCCCGAGTACCAGCCGTAGGGCCTACCCATTTCCCCAAGACTCGTCTATCGACCCCGAGGACAACGGGCATGGCTAGGATGGGGCAACAATGATGTTTTCTTTTCCCTGTTCTAGTACCATACCACTACTAAGGTGCTGTGATTCGCCAACGGAGAACCACCTGCGCAGAAAAAAGATTTCCTTTATGAGTCCATCTACAATATACCACTGTACAATGAACTGTATGTCACAGAATTTCTCCGATCGACCCTGGTACCTTAGACTGCCAAGTTGAACAGGGTGACCATGCACCGACAGTACTGTCGCTACCCGTGGTACTGTACCCACGACGAGTAGTAGTATCCATCTATTGTAATTGAGAAATCATGCGGACAAAACAAACGCATTGCTCACAAGGTCAGAGATATCCGTGTATGTCATTGAGCTCGACCAAGCACTTTATGCTCATAGAGCAAGGGCAATGGCAATGCACGCCCACAAGAAATTTAGTCTTGCGGTACGGGGGAGCTGAAACCGCAGGTATGTGGCTGGCTGGCGTTCATATTACTGATCACAAAGGCTTATTTAGCAGACCCTGCCTCCTCCACGGAGGTTTGCCTGAATCGGATGATATACTTGCTGCCAGCGTGACATGACCGGATACAATTTCGATTTTTCCGGTCGGGCCACCCGCAGGACCCCGGTACCAGGGAGTTCGGACGGATCCGGCCGCTGTCCGTCCAAGGATTCTCGAGCCGGAGTACTAGCGGTCTGGCCGTGAAATAAGCACTAAGGCACCCTGGGCCTGGGCTGATGGTGAGGGGTCAACAGGCGATCGGTCGTTCATGGCAGCTTGTCTCGCATAGTGTCGTCCCGCTAACGCCGTGTCGGATAGCTGGACCATCTGTATTAGTCGCTCTTTTTAGAGCACTGCGTCATAGTACAAAAGGTAAGCGGCAATCCTCTGACCATCTCATCCAATATTCCTGGAGGGTGCTTCCACCAAGGGTGTCCTGAGAAGGATTTGTTCTCGGGACTCGCCTCGCTTCGGCAAGGACAGGCATGCTTGGACAAATCCTACTCGTATCAATGACCCAGAGATGGGTATCTCCAAACACATACAGCCTGAATCCCAGGTGCCCTTGAACTGTATCGTGTGGAGGACAGCCGTAGGCATCTCCAAACACATACAGCCTGAATC